ACTCGCGAGATACAGGAAATATGTTACTATATGATTATCACTTGGAAAATATCAAAATGGTGGAAAGAAAAATGGTGACCGGGCAGGGATATGGTTTGGGTATTGGTGAGTGTAAGGAGTTGTGTCGCCGTGGACACGGGGCATAGCTTGGTTACACTATTTTTCCCTGTCTGGTCGGTTAAGGACCGATCGTTGCATATGACTCTAGGCAGGTCACAGACATATTATCCCGAGCACATACTTGTGTATGGGCGCTTGGAAGACTTGTTGCTCTCTTGTCGCGGATCCGGCTCTTTCCGGACCGACTGTTAGGGTTTGTTTTGGTGGAGGAGGTTCTTGCACCGCACTGAGTCTGGGACTCAGGGACGGGGGCTTGGAGTCTCAGTTTGGACGGGGACTTAGACACCCGGGACAGGAGAGTGATGGGTTGGTCCTGCTTGTGCCTGAGGTACAAGCGGGGCGTGTGTTTTCGGGGTACCCAGCTGGGGGCATTGATTCGCGAATCGTTGGGCTATCCGGTACGGCTTGTCTGCGGTTTAGCATCGTAGTAAGAACTAAAGATGAAAGATGAAAGATGGAAAAGGAAATCTGATTGCTTACCACCTGCTTGAAAATAGCACAGGTGCTTACATAGAATGGTTAGTTAATGAACCAATGCGGATATTAATAAAAATCAAATATAAGGACGCACGCTTAGTAATGCTTCCTGCAAATGCAACCCACGAGCCAGATAGCTTTGCATATCCTTGGAGTCTTTCCTTTCCTCCTGTCGGGTAAGTCTTGCTGAGTACAATTGAGTACTCAGGGTTTTATTCCCCCCGTTGCAGGTGACAGGTTGATGCTAGAGCTGACCCTTGTGTGTGGATTCCTCCTGGTGGGCTCAGCGAGGATTCCTTTACGTCGCGATCGTAGTTTTTATTTATAACTCTCACCAAATATTTTTATAAATGAAAGTTTCGTAATCTGTTGTAGTAGTTTATATCTCAATACTTCATCATATAATGAATAGATGTTTATTTCCGCTATAATTCTGATCACATGTTTAAATTCCGCTGTACATTAAATTATTTATAACTCTGATAATATGATTACAGTCCGTTGTTATACAATAACAATTATACTCTGATGTTGTACTAAAAGGGATGTATGAAATGGTTAAGAATGATGTAAGCTTTGTTCTCTCATTTGTGATCCTGATGGCAAAAATGTGGATTTTCGGGTTCTCTCCTGGGGTGTGCCCGACGGAACCGAGTAATTTAGTGTTCTCCCTTGAGTGCTTAGTGTCTAATGAAAGACAAGCACTCCTGTGAGGCATTACATTAGGCGGTTCTGCTACACAACCCTACAAACACCTTGTGCACATGTGGTAGCATATTTACACAAATATTATCAAGGGTGTTAGCACTCCACTAGATCCTAAATGCATATGCAATGAGTTAGAGCATCTAGTGGCACTTTGATAACCGCATTCCGATACGAGTTTCACCCCTCTTATTAGTACGGCTATCAATCCTAAATGTGATCACACTCTCTAAGTGTCTTGATCACCAAAATAAAATAGCTCCTACAAGTTATACCTTTGCCTTGAGCTTTTTGTTTTTCTCTTTCTTCTTTCCAAGTCGAAGCACTTGATCATCACCATGCCATCATCTTTATCATGCTATGATCTTCATTTGCTTCACCACTTGAAGTGTGCTACCTATCTCATGATCACTTGATAAACGAGGTTAGCACTTAGGGTTTCATCAATTCACTAAAACCAAACTAGAACTTTCAGTTGTACTATATGTCTGTTTAGCTGTCTGTGTTATAAATTCTAAGAACATACGGACGGTAGCTGTCTCTATGTTGTACATGTCCTTATACGTCATGGCCTCATGGGCAAAATGGTAAAATATATAATACCCTTCCAACGCTTCTGCGGTATCCGGCGCACATTAAAAACAGAGCCGTTTGTTCCATTCAAAACTTCACATAGAGCCGTTGGTTAGTTAGCGCACTCAGCGTTGAGCCACCAGAGTACAGATCCGCCTAGCACCACAACCAATCTTTGCAAGCCGTCAAAAGCTGCCGGCCCAACGCCGCCGCCATGGGGAAGCTCGGAGCCAAGTCCGACTACGAGAGTCTCCGCGACGCCCGCATCTCCGAGAACATGGTAAGGCGCAGGCACCCTACCCGAATTCGATCTCCACCGAATGAGGAATTTCTTGCGTCATCTCCGATTCTTGTTCCGTGGAGTGTTTGCAGGCCCGGATGGAGCAGCTCGGCCTTCTCCGCTGCGCGGGGGAGCTAAGCGACATCGCCTCCGCCTCCAGCCACCGCGCGGCCGGGAGCGCGACGCCTCGGAGGACCCCCAGGCCACGGGTGACGAACATGACCCCGCTCCGCCGCTCCGGCCGCCTCCTCACCGCGACGCGTCGCTGTTCCGCCCGGCTGAATGGGCAGGGCACAGGTTGAAGCATCGAATGCTCTCTTCCGTGGATCGACTCGTGTTGTTTGTCACGGGAAACAGCTCAAGTAAGTTCCTTTTATTTTCTGGCAGGAGCTCTGAGTAAATTGACGGCGGCGGGATCGGAGGAGGAGGAGGATACATGGGAAGATGAAAAGGAGGGGAAGTGGGCGATGGCTGTGGCCAAGGAGAGGGTACAGACGCTGCAGGAGAGGCGGTGCGACAGCAGGGGGAGGGGCGGCGTGTACGACCCTGTTCTTGGGATCTGCTGCCATTTCTGCAGGTACACACACTCTCATCATTAACATGAATCACCGATTGGTGCTCCCGATTGCGTTCTTGAGAAGGATCGCGCGGGATTAGTGTGCAAGTAGCTGACAAAAGTCGTTCTCTATGACCAAAGGCAGAAGAAATTGTGCGGCGAGGAGGACTGCAAGCGCTGCGGGGAAGGAGACCTGAAGCAGCCATGCTTAGGTAAAAAGAATCCGTAAAGATTTCTCCTATTTTCCTCACCTAGTATCATGTCAACACTCAATACCTTGGCAAATATTTGACAGGAAAGACGGAGTGCTCATCTTGCCATTCTTCTAATGGGATACTCTGCCGTGCTTGCCTGAAAGTTAGGTACGGCGAAGGTAAGCGGACTTGCTATGTTGCTCAACGCTGAAATGCCTTTGTTCTTTGGTGGATTGTATTGGCCTTGTTACTGAACTGTGAGACACGGTAGCAGAGATGGAAGAGGTGAGGAAGAACAAGAATTGGATGTGCCCTCACTGCGTTGAGGAGAAGGGTATCAAGAAATTCTGGATCTGCAACAGGTGAGCGCTTCCTCATCCTCTCTCTATTTAGTTCTACAATCAGAGGTCTGAAATGGTGCTTCCTCAACCTCTCTCTCTATTTATTTCGACAATCAGAGGTCTCAACCTCTCTCTATTTAGTTCTATAATCAGAGGTCTGAAATGGTGCTGTCAGGATATGTAGTGTTTTAAAAAGTTCAGTTTCCCATCGCTCGCTCGGTAACCTTTGGTCATACGACGATGCAGCTCCTTCTGCTTGAAGAAGAGGAAGATACCAATACCACCGACTGGGATTGCCATATATAATGGTAATTCTGATTCGACTCCTGTCCACATCTGTGAAACATGCTGTTCTTGCTGTTACTGATAAACATATCTGCTTCTTTTTTTTTCACTTTCTTTGCCATTGCAACAGCAAGGGAGCAAGGATACGAGTCAGTTGCGCACCTTCTCATGGACAGGCTGAAGCGACAAGCTTTCTGATGACGACTGGTTTTGGCACGTTCACTTCTACAGCGTTTTGGCACGTTCACTTCTACAGCGAACAGAGATGATGATGACAGAGAGATTGTAGTAATAGTCTCTTGTTTGACGACGTCTGGTTTGGCATGTTCACTTCTGCAGTGGTTTAGTGATGATGGAAGAGATTGTAGTGAGAGTCCGTTTTCTGGCAGTTCCGATGATAGGCATCTTAGCCTCTAGGAGAAAATGTTTCTGTTGAAATGAGTCCCACTTTTGTGCCCAAGAATGTGAGGCTAGGAACTCTCGGTAGTCTGATGTTTCAGGAGTGGCAGCTTGTTTGTTTATTGTAATCGCATTTTGTTGAGGGTCAGAGCAATGATGATGCACATGGTAGTGACGTAGTGTAGCGTGGAGTCACCAAAATGACTCCAGATAGCTAGCCTATGGTTAGCTACAACGTTTTATTATTATTTTAGCATTTTATATCCCTGACCACAGATGAATTTTTCTGAGCGTAAGGAATAACACAAAATTACCCATATTCTCAACTATATTTACATTAATTTGTTTCCTTTATCTAAAATTAGCCAAATATCAGTAAATACTTTAGCCTTTATTAGTTGCACCTTGTTTAGTTGCCCAAAGTTGGCACCGCCGCGGAATCACTGTACTGTACTGTAGCGCACTATAATATTTCGTTTGTATTTGGTAATAATTGTTCAATCGTTGACTAATTAGGCTCAAAACGTTCGTCTCGCAAAGTACAACCAAACTGTATAATTAGTTTTTGATTTCGTCAACATTTAGTACTCCATACATGTATCACAAGTTTGATGTGACAGAGAATCTTCTTTTTACACCGTGCCAAAGTTTAAATTTTGGGTAACTAAACGCACCCTTGGCCCAAAACTCATTCCTCCTTGTTGTGCAAGCTCTAGTTACTTGCTTTACTCTTTAGGGCGTGTTTAGTTCCGAAAATTTTTGGCTTTTGGCTACTGTAGCACTTTCGTTTGTATTTAGCAAAAATTGTTCAATTATGGACTATTTAGGTTTAAAAGATTCGTCTCACGATTTCTCGGCCAACTGTGTAATTGATTTTTTTTCGCCTATATTTAGTACTCCATGTATATGCCGCAAGATTCGATGTGATGGATACTGTGCAAAAAAAATTTGAATTTTGGGGACATCTAAACGGGGCCTTAGTTTATCATATCAAGTTGGACCGGGCCTGACTACAGGCAGCCTACAGCGCTTAGTTGGGACGCTGACATCTCCACCTGCCGGATGCACTCATGCACCGCCGCCTTGCTACCGCGCCCGCGCTCCGGCGGTTCTCGCACCACAGCGCACCTCCCCGGCCTGACCCAAGGCTCGCCTTCCTCCGCTCCGAGGTCGACGACCTCGACCTCTCCCCCTCTCATAAACCATCGCCACGGCCTCCCCAAAGAGATCAATGCCAGGTGTTAGAAGAGCTAAGAAGCGGTCTTGCTCTTGCTGGAAACGCTCCGGCATCTGTGGATATAGCGCATCCGTGGCCGGAGTGGGTTGCTCTGATGGAGCACCTCCTCCGTCGGGGCCACGTTGACCCCTCGACCTTCGCCGCCGCCTCGCTGTCTTCTAAGGACGCCAACGCTGTCCGCACCGCCTGCCTCCAATTCGGGCGCCAGCGGCCGGAGCTCATCAGGTGAGGTGGCCGTGCTCGGACTAGTGGTTTTGGGGTTGGGTTCTTGGCCTGGGTTTGTGTGCGCGTTGAGACCATTATTCTCTGCTGGGGCTATGATTTTAGCTGCAAGATGTTTGTTGAAATGTGCTACCCATTCGCGGTGCCTTTTTTCTTCCAGGCACTCCAGCTGTGCATGTAAAAGTGGTTGCATGTTTACCATGAAGGGAACAAACTTTGGCGGTTGTTGCAACATTTTGGCTAATTATACGTGCCCTGACGCTGTGCCAAATTGATGTGTCACACTTCAATAGCAACTCGTGGAACAAAGCTTGCCTAGTAGTACCATTTTTGGGGATGGTAACAAGTGCAAAATACATTATGGGTTTCCTCAAGCTGCATCACTGTACCCTACAGAAACTCTTAGATGTGTGTGATTACAAGGCATTGTTTCATCATGTAGAGTAGTACTGCTGTCTTTTGTTTCATGAGTCCCAACTTTCAACTAAATGACTTAAATGGACGCTGGAAGCTAAAGTTGAAAGTCTTTTGTTGCAGGCATATACCAAGATGGCATATTCAGGTTGCCATGCGATGTGGTTGTCCCAGCATTGACAGGAAGGTTGTAAACTCTGGGAAGCGACTGCGGGCTTATGTAGGCCTTGATGAAGGAGAGGTAACTACATGGAAATATGCATTGAAGATTTCTCTTGGCGAACTTCATTTTTACATTTTAATTTTATTTTAAAATTACCGTAGACTTTAAATATCGTGAATGTAAACTCACGGTTTTGTGTAGGATCTACACATCAACACTGAATTAAGACACAAAAAAGAATATTAAACCATCTTATGCACAAGCAAAAGCTTTATTAGGCTTGTGAATGGTAATACAATTGTGTGATCTCTGCTTTTAAATTGCATGTTTCATGTTTGAACTCTTTGAGTGCAAACATGCGGTGTGAAAGAATAGAACTGTTCGCCTATTTGACTTCATCAACCTTGCTTTCACTAAATCCACTTCACACTGGTGAACTGACTAGTAGAAAATATGTGCAATATGGTTTTTCCTTTCTTGGCAACTAGAAAATATTTGCTTACTGTGCAGTATAATTTCCCAAACCTGTTGGATCCTTAATCTTTATACCGTAAATACATTAATTTCGTTTATGCTTGAAAGTTTGGTTGCTTTAAATCTAGGACTTAATTTATGTAGTATCAGCTTATGCTAACAGGTTTGCAGCCAATGCAATTTGAGAGGAAGTTGTGATAGGGCATACGTAAAGGCTCGGAAAGAGGAAGTTGGAAGAACTGTGGATGTTATGCGCATCCTTTTGACTTATGGTCTTGATGTTATTACCGGCAATGTAGAGAATAGAGCACGCCTGAACAAAACTGTCAAGGAATCAATAAAGATCCTACTAAACGAGGTTGTCGAGGTCGATTCTAGGGGACCTGGTTCCAGCACTGTGAAAGCTGCACAGCGCAAAGGTCAATCTGCTGTACCCATGAAGCAGGGTGATTGGAATTGTCCCAAGTATGTTAGAAAAGTTAATATGTGTGTCTATCACCTATCCCCCATGGTCATAATGCCTTGGTGACTTTCTGAACATAATGCTACTTGCATTTCGAATGTTTGTCAGATGTGACTTTAAATGTAGACTGAAAAACTTTTGCCTTTGGTGGGAAATTACGAGTTTAGTTTGAGCCTAATTAGGCAGTCCCAATGGTGTATTGATGATGGTTTTTATCCTCATTAAATGACTTGCCACGTAGGCAAAACGCTGACATGGCAACGTAATTAATGAAGAAAGAGAACAAAAATCATAGAAATGGTTTCCTCATGAAGAAATCAGGTTAAATGTACCCAATGCACCAAGAAACCATGAAATCGTCATTGAAAAACTAATTGCACTCCCATTGGAGGAAGAAGATATAGTTGGGAGAGAGAAAGAGAAAATAATTATTACTCATAGAAACCATGGGTTGGAAATCAGTACTTTTTTGATGCGGTATCCTATATTATAGAAACTACTAGTTTCTTTCATTGGGACTGCCTTTAGTCCATGTTTGAACACTATTTGCCAAATAAAAACGAAGGTGCTACAATAGCCCTAAAATCCAAATTTCGCGAACTAAACAAGGGCTTTGCAAAGAATATCAAATGTTTGCGCTGCGATGGAGAATTCCAAGAGATGTATCAGTTGCTGCATGAAGACCAAGAGCATCTACCTCTCAAAAAGGGTGACTGGATATGCAAAAGGTGAGCCTGCTTATAGCTCTAGTTTATGAGAAATATTTACTGCAAGTGCTGTTTTTTTTTTCTTTCTCTTATACTGACCTTAAAGTTTCAGGTGCAACTTTTTGAATTTTGCTAAGAACACAAGATGCTTGCAATGCCACGAGAAACCAACAAACCGTTTACTCAACCCAGGGGAATGGGAATGTGTCTCGTGAGTGCCTATTTCTACTACACTATTATATATTATTTGTTGAATATTTGAACTGTTCTGATGTCTACTGCCAATACGAGCTTATAGTTGAAGATGATGTTAGTGTTGTGTGACTATCCTTTCACTGCTATGATTTTTATTCCTAGTACATTTCAGAAAATGGAAGATAATTATGTTTATGTGTTATGTTCAATTACAGGTGTAACTATGTGAACTTCAAGAGGAATGGATTCTGCTTGAAATGTGGTTGGAAAAGACCAAAGTCTCTAAACAATCAAGATAGTAAGAATCCCGTCATGACTTAGAGAATAGTAAGAATCCCCGTATTTCATTTGTTAAAGATGGCGTCCAGCTGAAGAGGTGGCAAAGTCCGCAAAAGAATACTTCACCATCTGACGAAGATTCAGATTTCTGGAGCGCAGATGACGAAGAGGGTGATAGCAGGGATAATGATACACTCCTGCAACAGAAGGACTACAGATTCCTTGAGAGTTTTCCCATTGTCGGGGGCAGGACTGCTAATTCCCAAGATCGTCTTGCAAGGGAGAAGTGGAAGGACGAAATGTCCAGGAGAAACAAAGGTTTTCAAATCAAGGAACCACAAGAAAGCAATCGGCCTTCTAGCCCCGGTCCTCTTCCAAGAAGCATGGAGCAATCGGCCTTCTAGCCCCGCTTCTTGGTTTTCGGGTGGGAATAATAATAGGAACTTTGACAAAGCATAACCAGATCTTGTAAGCGGGCGCAACTCGTGAATTCCATCAATAAAATTTGCATCTCTTGGAATTATTGAAATCCAGGCCAAAAAAAATTAAAGCTCATTGGGAAACTGTAACATTTAATGTTTCGGAATTATGAGGCCGTCCCCAATAGTTTTAAAATAGCTAGTCTAGAAAGAATTATATTGGCTATAAAGAAGAAAGACCAAATAGCTTAACGATTCCTAAATAGTTAGTCTAGCACAATCTCCTAGAAATAGCTTTTTCACAGCTCACGTAACTCTCCACTGCAGTGTTTATTTTTTATTATTTTCTAAACTTCATCTAGGTAGCTATTTGCAAATTGCTATTGAGAAAGTCTTTATGGGCTGCTCAGCGGCTCAGGGATGACACGCTATGATTTTTTGCAAGGGGCTTCTATACCTGCTCTCATGCAATTAAGTTTTGGGGACCAAGCTAGTAACAAGTGTCATGTGCCTACGTGCGACGTTTGGTTCGGCTCCGTGCTTGTCTAACTAGATCCAAAATTGTTTAAACTAGAAGCGAAATGTAGCAATATATTCTCCTATAGAATACCCGTAGTTCTCCATAGAACCACCGTCCACGTCACCTCTAATTTTTTCGGCCATCAGATCTTCGATCGTGCAGCCCAAATAGCTTGGAGCGGATTTTGTCGAAAGCGGCTTCTCGCGCTTCTCCATGGCTTCTCCCGCTTCTCCTCTGCAGCCTCCGCTTCTCTTCCGAATACAGAGAAGCAAATATATACCCTAGCTTCTGCTTCTCTATCCAACTTTTTACCCCCTCCTCTCTTTTCTTTGCTGTTTCTCTCGCTCTCCCCGTCTCTCCCCGACGCGGGCAGGGGCGACAGCGGCTGACACGGTCGAGGTTCGCGGCCGCCCACCCTCCTCCTCCTCCTCCTCCTCCTCCTCCTCCTCCTCCATTCCTCCCTTCCCCACTTGCCTCTCACCTCCGTTCCTCCCTCCCCTTCCTCTCTCTCCCCTCCCGAGGTGGCGGTGGGCGCGAGGCGGCGGTGCCCCCGCGGGCGGCGCTCTGGCGCAGGTGTGGCCCAGCAGCCCCCTCCCTCTCCCTCATTCTCCACGCGGGCTCCTCAACGCCTCCTCCCACCGAGGGCGTGTGCTTCTCTGCTCGACGAAACCCTAGCTATCTATACACGTTCTTGTTACTTCTTCTCATCTGGTTTTGTTATTGTTTTCGGGATTGATTTTAGCTTTTTCCTTCTCTTCCTTAGGGTTCCCCTAGGATTCCCAAATTTGATGCCTTCCTTCTCTCAGATCCCTGCAGCAGTAGGTGTGATGAACACCTCCAGAGGGGCTCCATTGCTTCCGACATTGGGGACGCAGCGTGTCAAAGGGGTTGCATCTGCTCCGGAGGTTCCATGATCCATGCTCCTTGAAAGGATCAAGATGTCCAAGAGGGGGAGGGTGAATTGAGCTAATTCTAAATTTTTTTGCAATAATTAAACCCTACAGTTAGCCCAATTAACCCCTTATGCCTAGAAAATGTTTCTATTGATCTATCGCACAAAAGTTTAGCAACCTATATTCCAATCCTACTCTAGCATGGTAATTCTATGAATGTAAATGACAAGAATTGAATTGCTCAAAGTAAATGCTCAAATTAAAGAGAGAAGGAGGAACGCGGCGATGTTTTGTCGAGGTATCGGAGAGTCGTCACTCCCCACTAGTCCTCGTTGGAGCACCCGCGCAAGGGTGTAGCTCCCCCTTGATCCGCACAAGGATCAAGTGCTCTCTACAGGTTGATTCTTCGACACTCCGTCGCGGTGAATCACCCACAACCGCTCACAACTTGAGTTGGGTCATCCACAAGCTCCGCCGGGTGATCACCAAGCTCCCAATCACCACCAAGCCGTCTAGGTGATGGCGATCACCAAGAGTAACAAGCACAAACTCTCACTTGACCACGACAAGCCTAATAAGAAGGGTGGATGCACACTTTGCTACTCTTGCTTTCACTAATGAGGGCTCTCTTTGAGATTCTCACATCTCAATCACCTCACTAGGATATTGCTTTTCTTAGCACTCTCAAGGGTGTTTCTCAGCTGTTGGAATGAGCAAAAGTACCCCTCACACGAATGCAGGAAGTATTTATACACTGGGTTGAAAAACAAATCATTATGTGCCTCTGCGGGGTGACCGGACGCTTCGGTCAGTTCTCCCTGAAATCCAGTGATTAAGTTGTGACCGAACGCTGGACAACGTCCGGTCAGCACTAACCGGACGCGTCCGGTCACGATTTTTCCTCTCTGGAACCTTATTGGAGTCGACCGGACACTGACACCCAGCGTCTGGTCGCTCACCTCTCAGCGTCCGGTCGCACCAGACAAAATCACCTTGATCAAATGAACTGACCGGACACTGCGCCAGCGTCCGGTCATACCGGAACCAATGTCCGGTCAACATTTAACTCTCCATTCACTTCCAACTCACAATCATATGTGAATGAAGTTTGCTCCAATTGATCTAATGGCTTTTTAGGAGCTACCTGGTGCTAGATTTAGCAAGTGTGCACCACACCTAACCCACTAGACTCACCTAGGTCAAGCTACCCATCCATACCCCCCTTAATTGTACGGCTAAAGGAAAAACAAAGTCCTAAACTACTCTAAGTGTCTCTTCAACACCAAACGACACTTAGAACTAGTCCATCCTTAACCTTGTCGTCCATCATTTGAAAACCGAAATGATTTCCATCGTAGGGGCATGACCACCATGATTGCCCAATCGATCTCCATTACCATGACCTAACTTAATTGCCTCTACAAAGCACACGTTAGTCATAGTAATCACGTATTGTCATTAATCACCGAAACCCAACTAGGGGCCTAGATGCTTTTAATCTCCCCATTTTTGGTGATTGATGACAATACCGCCTCGAGTATGTGAAAGAGTTGAGGTTTTTAACATGCTTGGATCATATAAGCTTTTAGCAATAAGAACAAAAGAGTTAGGTAAGCTTATATGACCCAAGCCAACATAATGTACTCAAAAGATATGAAATAAGTATGAGTACAAGTAATAAAGCTCATTTGCATCGGAGTAAAACGCGAAAGCAAAGCAAATGGGCATAACACAAGTGATATGACATATAAATAATTCAAAGTAGAGAGCACACATGTCAAATATCACGATCACGTAGATATCACTATCACATAAATATAGTTCTATGCATGAAAGTAAACACATAAATGCATAATAGTGTATCACACATAAAAAACCAAATATGATAGATAAACTAAACTCCCCCTAGATAAGTCGCTCCCCCTAAGTCTAACATACTCGATCCCTTTCCCTCTTTGGCGTCAAACACCAAAACCTAAGGGTCGGTCGGTGGGGCTGCAGTGGACGAGTCGGGCGCTGAGGTACGAGGAGCGAGCTAGAACTGTGTGCCATCATCATCTGATCCTGAGCTCTGAGCTGTCTGACCCTCTATAGCTGGAAGCGATGTTGAAGCGGTCTGGGTCGGATCAGGAACTGGTGCGGCCTGAGTCTCTGCAGGTATGACTGTAGCAGGCGGCTCTGATGATGCAACTGAAGAAGGGAGCGTCTCTGTAGTCCCGATAATATGTGCAACTATGGAAGGACCTGGGACATGTAGATATGGTGGAGTAGGCTGCCCTGTCAACTCACTGAAGGAAGCACCAAGGCTCCTAGAAACTATAGTCTCTGGCACTAGCAGCGAGGAAGTCTGAGCTGGTGTGAAGCCCGTCTGAAAAGGTGTGAACTGCGGGGCGGGCACTGGCGAGGCAAACCACTAGGACACCTGCTTTATAGGTGAAGCAAACTGAGTAGCAGTCTGTCCTTGACTCTGAAGCCCACTAGGCTATAAAACTGGAGTCATAGAAGTGGTGGCAGGCTGGGCTATCTGGGGTGAAGACTGTGGAGGTGGAGCCCCAATAGCAGTGACTACATGCTGCATAAATCCAAGTAGCTGCTGCTGCATGAGAAGCTACTGCTGATGCATGGTCTGCTGCTGCTGGATCACCTGCTGCTGTCGCTGGAACTCATCCTGCCTGGTCTGAAATTGTGCAAATGTAGCAGCGGTCTCCTGAGCCTGACGAGCCTGATCCTGCCTCATCCGCTCAAGTATAGCAAGTAGAGCGGGGTCTGTCTGCGGTGCAGGTGGAGCTAAACTGGAGCTATCGGCCTCATGGTCATGTCATCGTGGAGGCATCTGAGGGATATCCCAGTAGTCATCATCTGAGCTGTCGCTGGGGTCGCTCTCGACCATCCCCTCCTGCTGAGCATCTAACTGCTCCTCCTCTATAGCTGCAATGCCCCTAATAGTCTCATCCTGCTGGGCTGTAGTCTCTGGCACCTCTGGACGATGGCGCAGCTGGTTAGGTGTCCTCACTGCACTATGGCGGATCATCTGAGTCATGTTGTATACAGGAAACTCTATAGTAGCACCACTATACTCTGCCAGCATCTTAGGTGGTCTCACAGTAACTGCCCTGTGGATCAGGAATGTAATTCAGTGAGCATATGGCAGCTGCCTGTGACCCCTGAACCCCACTGCAATAGTATCCTCCATCTCTAATAGAAGGAGATCCCAAATATCAAACACAGTCTACTGCATCAGAGAGTTTAGTAGCCATAACTGTATGTGAGTCAAGCCCTCGCAATACCTCATCCTCGAAAGCAGGGTCCTCCTCATAATAGCATCAAGCACTCTAGCAGTAGGAGTGAGATCACTGGGTGTCTTGCTCGACCCCTCGCCGAATGGCTCTGTGAAGCAGTGGCGGACCAAGTCTGTAGGAGGCACAAGACCGTCGTGAGGGCGTCTGGGAGGCGTTGTCTATCCATAGCAAACCTCATGTAGCCGGATGGGCTGCTCCTGAAGCCTGAGTATCTCTTTGACCCTAAAGCTCATCAGCCTATAATCTCTGCCTCTGAAAGTAAAGTGAATGAAT